TAGCTAATTTTTTGTATTTTTAGTAGAGACGGGGTTTCACCGTGTTGACCAGGATGGTCTCGATCTCTTGACCTCGTGATCCACCCGCCTCGGCCTCCCAAAGTGCTGGGATTTCAGGCTTGAGCCACCGCGCCCGGCCTGTCATTTTGTATTTTTAATAGAGATGGGGCTTCACCATGTTGGCCAGGCTGGTCTTAAACTCCTGACCTCAGGTGATCTGCCCACCTCAGCCTCTCAAAGTGCTGGGATTACAGGCCTGAGCCATCATGCCTGGCCAAGGAGAAGTTTCTAAATAACAGGTTTCTCTGCATATGTCTTAAGAGTCTATACTCTATGGCTGTGTAGTATTGCATGAAAAAGAAAAAAAAGAGTACTCTCTCTCGGGAAACGTCATTACTTGGATAACATTTTAACCTCAGCCTACAAGTCTTAGGGAGGCAAGAGACTTCCTAGGTGATCAGGGGCCTCAATGACACTGGACCCACTCAGAGGCTCAAAGGGAAGACCAAAAGAGGCCGACAGATGTCTTTAGCGGAATACTGACAGCAGCCCTACAAGCAGTGCCAGACTGTGCAGAGCACAGAGCAGGCAGGAGCTGCAGCCCCTGCAGAGACCAGCAACAGCTGGCCTGAGTGCTAGGCGCACAGTGAGGAGGAGGACCTGCAGCAGCTGGAGATCCGAAGTGGGGTGGGGGTGGGGCGGTAACAGGGGACTGGGAGAAAAGGGCAAATGAGGCCAAAACATCTCTTTTCCAACAGACCCTGCTCTTAGAGGTCGACGTTCACCAAAGCACTTCAAGAAATTCTTGGCAAGTTTAAAACAACTTCCTGTCCCTCCCTATTAGCATAAACAACACCATACAGAAACCAACCACCTTCCCAGGCACTCGGCCTGAGATTATGTGCTTCATTTGTCTACGATCTCCCCCTGCTGTCCGACAGAGGTTTAAGGAACAAAGACTTATTTTGCTCAAAGACTTATTTTCCCAGACTTGCTCTAAGTGGATGGAGAGCACAAGTCCAGATTTCTTGTTCCCACTCTCAGATCCGATGATTAGCAGCAAATCCGTGCATCGTGACTTAGACTAAGTAGGCGATTAGCGCTGTTACCCGTGAAAGAGCAGGCAAGAGACCAGGCTAAGTCACTTCACTAAAGGATCTTATCTCAATCTGATTGTGGATTTCCGGGGGTTATCGTGGAATCAGGCAGAACTCATGATGTATGTGCTGATGAAAAGTAGGAACGCCGGGCGTGGTGGCTCACGCCTGTAATCCCAGCACTTTGGGAAGCTAAGGCGGGCGGATCACCTGAGGTCTGGAGTTCGAGACCAGCCTGGCCAACGTGGAGAAACCCTGTCTCTAACAAAAACACAAAATTAGACGGGTGTGGCGGCGCGCGCCTGTAATCCAGCTACTAGGGAGGCTGAGGCAGGAGAATCGCTCGAACCCGAGAGGCGGAGGTTGCGGTTAGCCAAGATCGCGCCACTGCACTCCAGCCTGGGTGACAGAGCAAACCTCCATCTCAAAAAAAAAAAAAAAAAAAAAAGGAAAAGTAGGAACGAGATTCCTAACCTAGAGCTGAAGGGTGATGGACTTGTTATGTCTCTAGCCTCACAAACCCAACACAGCTGACCTGTCCAGAAAGCAACCGCGACACCCGATCGCGCCCCAGTGGGAACGAGCTTGGCGGCCTCGGCTTAGAGGGCGCGCGAGGCTCGGGCCCAATATAGCCCACCCGGCACAGGCCTGGGAGAATGTGAGCGCGCCCCTGAACCCAAGGCAGTCATGGAGGTCTGCAGCCTTGCCTCCCAGGCTGCTCCCACCAGCAGCCCGCAGCCCGAGAGGGTCGGCGGCCGCCATCCGCCCCAGCAGGCCGCCCCGCCGCCAGCGCCTCCTCACCCGAGCCTCCTGCCTTTCGGCCCGCCCGGCTTCCGAGAGCTCATGGCCGCCGTCGTCCCGCGCGGTGGCCAGGCACGCTCACGTCTGGCGGCCAGAGCAGCCGCGCTGCCGGCCGGTCTCACGCGCCCCCCTGTCGCGGACTGTTTTTCTTCCGGACTCCGCCCGCCCGCCCCGGCTTCCGTCAGAGACAGGCCATAGGCGCACCGCCGGCTCTGGGTGGTGCGGCTCGCGAGAGGAGGCTGGACTCTCCCAGAAGCGCGAAGCTGCGAGAGGCTGAGCGAAGGTGTCTTCGGGGACGTCAGGGAGGCGTGTCTGGCCTGTCATCAGCGCACAACGCCACACAACCGCAGCCAGCCCTGGTGCGCGGCCTCCACTGGACCCGGCCCGGCCCAGCCCGCCGCCCGCCGCCCGCCGCCTCCCGCCCCCCGCCCCCGACTCCCAGCGTGCCCCGCTCCAGGGGCCGTCTTCCGGCGGAAGTTGTCGCTCCGCCGTCGCGGCCTCTGACCCGCTTGTGAGGGATCCGAGTCCGGTCCTTGTGCTGTTTTCGCCCCGGCTTACCGCCGTCCAGAGACCCAGGGGGCAAATGAGGACCAGGGGTAGGGACACGCCGCTTAGCCACCGTCCTGCCTGGAACCCGGCGTCCCTGTCCCCTCAGCTGCGGGTAATCTGCCATGCCCGTGGCGCCCATGCCGCTCCGGTAGCGTCTCCATTCTCCGCCTCCACTTGCAGGCGGCTTTCGCCCTCCTAACTGATGGGGTTAACCACTGCATGTGGGAGGTTTGGGGGATTCCTAGACTCCTAGAAAATTAGCCATCAATAAACGAGAAGTCCGGAGAATCGCTTGAACCCGGGAGGCGGAGGTTGCAAAGAGCCGAGATCGCGCCACTGCACTCCAGCCTGGGCGGCAGAGTGACTCCGTCCCCCCGCCCCCCCCAAAAGTAACTCACTGCTTCCATATGGTCCGTTTTCAAGACCAAACGGCTTCTATGTAGTCTCCATTCAAGACCAAACGTGAAATGGTTACTTTGCTAAAGATTCACTGAGATTTCCTTGAAGTCATTGTTCTTAATCAGTTTTTCTGGGGGGTGGGGTTATTTATGGGATTCCTTTGACAGCACTTTCCTCAAAAAAATGCACACACAATTTTACAAACAAACTTCCAGAGGTTCACGCGCCAGGGAGCCAGGTTAAGAACTTTTTTTTTTTTTGAGATGGAGTCTTGCTCTGTTGCCCAGGCTGGAGTGCAGTGGTGCAATCTCAGCTCACTGCAACCTCCACCTCCTGGGTTCAAGCAATTCTGCCTCAGCATGGGAGCCTGCCACCAGACCCAGTTAATGTTTTTTGTATTTTTAGTAGAGATGGAGTTTCACCATGTTGGCCAGGCTGGTCTCGAACTCCTGACCTCAGGTGATCCAGCTTCTCAAAGTATTGGGATTACAGGCATGAGCTACTGGGCTCGGCCAAGAACTACTTTATTTTTTTGAGACAGAGTCTCACTCTGTCACCCAGGCTGGAGTGCAATGGCGCAACCTCCACCTCCCGGGTTCAAGCAATTCCCCTGTGACAGCCTCCAGAGTAGCTGGGACTACAGGAGCTCGCCACCATGCCCGGCTAATTTTTTGTATTTTAGTAGAGACAGGGTTTCACCATGTTGGTCAGGATGGTATTGATCTCCTGACCTTGTGATCCGCCTGCCTCAGCCTCCCAAAGTGCTGGGATTACAGGCGTGAGACACCACGCTGGCCAAGAACTACTTTAAATAAATGTTTTGCTTGCTTGGTATGGTGGATAAAGAGGAAGATGTGAAGAGGGGAGACAAAAGCAAAAGGAAATACTGTCAGTAGGAAGCGGCCAGATTACAACTCAGATGTGCAATGCTTCCATTAAGTAAATTGACAAGGGACTATTACAATTTGCAGAAATCCATGTGCAGAAATTTTCAGATACATCTTCTTGCCTCTTCCTAATCCTGCCTGGTAAAATAGGGGATATCAGTGCAAGTTTGAGGAGATCTACAGTTGGAAAATGGACATATGGACATCACCAAACTAGACTCCAGAAAGCTCTGTCTAGGATTTTATTAGACTGCTTTTTTCTCAATATACCTGTGTTGGAAGATTGAGACAAAAAGGCACAAACTCACATTAAATAAACAAGATAATCTAATCAGTTCTACAAAGTGTAGTTTGTAAAAGAAGTTGCACTAGGAACCAACCAAAATAAGTCAGGGAGTCCCAGCGGGGACTGTAAAAGGAGAACTCGGGAAGATACACATGCCCGCGGTACTGACCCTGTCCCAGACTCTCTCCAGAAGAAGGCCAGAGCCCAGCACCCCTCCTCCCCGTCCCGGCACTGCTGCTCTGCTGGGGCTGTGACCCTGGGATCCTCATGTAAGCAGCTGGTCTGAAGGGGCATGGCACACGCTCATGTGCTACCCCTGAAGCTGAGCCTTTATCGTAAGTCCTTCTGAGTGCTGGTCAGTTTGGGGTGGGCGAGGAGGAAACGGGGTACTTAAAAGCAGCCAACACTGTTGCCCAGCAGCAGCACCATCCATGGGGATGGAACAGAGCAGGGACATCCCTCCTCTATGTTTATGTGGGCTGGAGTTCCAGATCCAGGCTGACAGCTCATCATGGATGCTTTTAAACTGGGGCAACAGGTGGAGGTGGGAGGAGCCCTCATTAGGGTTAAAGTGATATGTGTGGGTCTCAAAGAGCCAAAGGAAGGATATTAACAGCTGCTGACCCTCAAACCACGTAACAACTGTCTGTCTAGAATGCCACAGTTTCTTTCTTTCAAGATAACCACCATCTGGACTTCCCCTATTTGATGAATGAAGAAGGGAAATCTTTAAGCACAAATATAATTAAGAGCTAATAGGAAAACATTTACATTTTTCTCCAGTAGGATTGCCTCTTCTCCAACTTTCCAAGTAAGATAAACGCTACCAGCAGTTGAGATGCTACCCAGATGAATTACTAAAGTCCCCTAAAGGTGAGGAGACTCACACAGAGGAAGGTGCCTGTAACAAGACAGCTGGTTCCAAAGGGACCTCAATGAAGGTCAGAGCTAACCATGCTGGGGGGTCTGAGTCTGTCCACTCTTGCCCCCGGAGGGCCACAGGGAAACATCCATCAGGACGTCGTAGGTGCAGTCCTGTGAAACACTCCCTTATTGCACTTAGAAATGAGTAAGGCAAACAAACTGACAAAAACATAAGGGTACATTATCCCACCCCACTTCTTGCTTCCCGGACAAAGATTTGGTCTCTCATTAGCAGATGCACCCAGGCTAGTGTGGGCTTGGATCATGGCACACTTAGGCCAACGTGCTTCACAAGGTTTGGGGCATGTCAGGTGACACTACTGCTATCTCAGATTCTCCCAGTAAGAGGCATCCTCAGGCCCTGCCAAGTTGTAGGGAACTGTGAACACACAGCAGCGTCTATGCCGCTGGAGCCTGGACTTCCTCACCTGCCTGCTTTGGTAGAGTTCTGTACTATGATCACTATGTGCTTTTGAATTTCCAGGACAGAACTCAGCGTGGGAGTAGGATGAGCTAAGTTCTTGATCCCCAAATTCCTTTCCAGCAACTGCAGATGGGGAAGGATGTTCTGGAGAAAAGCTTTTTGCATGCTCATATTGTGCAACATGAAAGACCAGGACTCTTGTATCCTGACCAGCCTCAAAGACAGAGGACAGGGACCTAAGAAAGCACAGAGAAAAGAGATTATTGCTGAGTGGCAGCACCAGCCCAAAAGGGAAGAGGAGGAGCATGGACTTACGGAGCTCCTCGGGGTCAGACAGTTGGCATTTAGAGGGCGACTCAATTCTAGGGGCCACACGGGACAGTTCTCTCCAGGTGGAGAACTGACTGGGGCGATTTTGTAGGCTCTGCAGAGAGATTCAGAGTGGGTAACAGGAGGGCCAAGAAGCCACAGGTGTTTCTAAGAGAGCAGTAACTAAAGATTCAGTGACTGGGGCAGGTTATCTGCATTTGTTAAATTTTCTTAAACAGACCGGCTGAGCCTTGGGTACCTCCATGTGCTAGAGTGCACTAAGGAAGGGTTACTGGGAGCTGAAGACAGACTTACAAAAGCACACTGCGATTCTGCAGAAGTGGGGAAAACAATGGATCTCTAGCTCATGCCCTCTCCCAACATGAACACTCAAAACTGCAAAGATCTGCCCAGGAAGCAAATACCTCAGTTTATCCCAAGGCTCAGAACAAATGAACTTAAATCATTTAAAAAAAGGCAGCTATCTGAAAGACTGAAAATGTCACTTGGAAATAAAGGTCGGGGGCACACACAGAAATGGGTCAGAACACAAAGGAGAGACAGAGGAGCTGTAAATACAGCAGCCTGCACACCATGTATCTGGGAGGAGCAGGCTCCTGCACACGCGGGCTCTGTAATACCAGACGGTCTATCTGTTCACAATGTTAAAGGGCATCTAGAATTAGCTACAGGAAGGGGCTCGAAGTTGCCTGGAGAACGGGCACAGAACGGCTGCTTCTGAAGATGGCCTGTCACGTGGGAGGGTGGAGCTGCTGGGCCTTCCTGTTGACCACTGTCTTGCAAAACTAGAAGAAAATAAGATGATTAAGGAAGCAACAGGCGCAAACGGACACAACTGTAAATCATCCTCAATGGGAGTTTCAAAAGGAGGAAGGACTCCGGCTGGTGGGCAGGGAAGGGAGTGGGGAGAGAGCACTAAGGCCCGAGCAGTGACTGGGAAGCTGCATCACACACTCCACCTTGTCCTACCCTCCTGCCCCCCATAAGCTGCTTTAAGAACACGGGCCAGGGAGAGCGAGCCAAGCCTGGCATCACGGCTGGTGAGACCCTGGGCCTGCTTACCCGCTAGTGTTAGAGGCCAGTTTTTATTTGCGAAAATAATTTTCTCTCAGAGCCTAAGTGGGAGCACAGCCAGGTTTCAGTGATTAAGACTGCTTTGAGCTGCTGGAATCCCATGAGTGGGGAGGTGTACAGGGCACTGGGGAACCAGCACCAAGAGCTAACGGAGGAAGGAAGGGGCTTGGGGAAGAGTGACAACATGGAACAAGGGGCCACCAATCTGGGCCCATGACCTGGGCAGAAGCACCCTCCCAGCACCTGAAAGATGCCACCTCTGATGAGGGCAGCTTAGTATGGGATCGGGGGTATAAAGAGGAAGGAAATGCAGCACCTGACGCAATAGTGGATGCTGACAAAGGCTGCCTGGCCAGCAAGTTTTTCAAGGGGGAAGGGCAGGTCATGCCAGTATTTGGGAGCTAGGAACTGGCGGTGGCATGGGAGGGCCAGGAAGTACCCAGCATGGCAGCTTCCACTTGAGATGGATCAAGTTGACAGAGGAAAGTGATTAGCAGCGGATGAACCTGGCTTCTGTACCCCCCACCCCCACCCCCA